AAACGATTGCCACCCAAAAGGTGCACGGGAGAATACACGTGACGGAATATTGTCACAAATCCCAAAAAGAGAAAGCAAAAGGGTATCTAAGGGTTCGCAAGTGCGGTGAGGTATAGAGGCAAAAACAAAGAGGCCAAGAGAACAGTTAAACCCGCCGAGCAATGGTCATGAATCATCAATTCTGTTGGAGAACTTCTGCTTCGAGCCAGAATTGCGGGAGGAATTCGAATTGACACGCGAGCTAGAGCTAGAATTAGATTTAGCCCTTGGAAGATCTCCAGCAAGCGAGTTTGGGTGAATCTCCTCCGGAAGCAGAAGATCTGGTAGGTGGTCTGGATTCGATGCCAGACTGCGTGGACGTGAAAGCACACCACCGAGAGAAGGATTATCCTTTTCGCGATGCATGGTGTCGACTGGAGCACGACTTCGGCGGCGATGTCGGCGGAGATACTCGTTTGGAACAGGGTCGACTTGCTTTTTCACGGCTGGTACGATGTTAAGGTAGATGGGGAAGATGGCGCCGGCGCAGAAGAGCGCGACTATAACGCAGAAAGAATATGATCCGCCGTGTGCGAGGTATGCCGCGTACTCGGCAAACGGGAAAAAGGTGCCGCCGCTGACTGCCATTGTCAGGAAGGCAGCGGCTGTTTTCGTATGCTGGGCTGTGCCGCGGAGGGAGATGGCGAAGATAATGCTGAATGCACCGCTCTCGAAGAGGTACAGCAGCATTGCCATAACGATTGCTGCTGAGCCGTTGGTTTTCATGCAAAGAATGGAGCAGACGATCATGCCGATGTAGCTGACCATCAGAATCCAGCGTGGTTTGATGAACCACTGCGCAAACGCGGCCAAGAAACGGCCCACAGCGAAAACGCTGTGTCCGATGGTTAGGAAATCGAACGGTGATGAGTCTGGACGAGCGGCAACAACGAAACGCCGGAGAGCTGTCGCGAAGACTTCTTGCCCAGCCACGTAGAAGAATTGAGACCAGATTCCGAGGCCAAGAGTCAGCCAAACGACTGGAATACCGACCACTTTGGACATGTTGTCTTCTCGGCGTCGATTTGCGAGCTCTTCCAAATCTTCATCTGACGCTTCGGGGATTGGTAGATAATAAAACGCCACTGCCAAGAGCACATCGAAGAGAGCAATGCCAAGGTATGCCCATTGTACATCAACCAAAGATGCGACATCCTGCACATCCTTGAAGAGAACCCGTTTCGCCAGGAGCGGCGACAAGACACTTCCAACTGCTTGCACACCCTGTGAGATATTGAGTCTGATTTCGGAATTCTCGAGTGGTCCGCATAGCGCTATGAACGGATTTGCCGCAGTCTCCAAAACCGCTAGACCAAACCCGACAATGAAATTTGACAAAATGAACGCAGGCGTCGACGTTAGGACAGCAGAAGGCCAAAATATGAGGGTTCCACAGGCATAAATGCAAAGTCCAGTTATGAACGTGGACTTGAAGCCCCATATTTTCAAGACAGGCCGGCCAACTAGCAGAGGGCCGACCACGTATCCGCCGAAGTACGCGCCATGAAGACCCAAGGAATGCCATGAACCTAAGTGGACGATACTCTTGAATTGAGAATTCAGTATGTCAAGCAAGCCATATGCGAAGCCCCAAAGGAAGAATAGCAGCGTGGTCAATGCAATTGGCGCAATCGACTCTCTGTTGTTTAACTTTAACATACTTTCCGGGTTTTTCATGTTGACAAAGTCGAAGAACGTGATATCCGGTGCATAGGATGCGCTAGTATGAGTTCCTCCCTCTGTATCGATGGGTGCTGTTTCTGGGTGACCTAGGAAATCCAAAATACCAATGGGCTCCGATTCCCGGAGCTATGCCGACCAGCAGAGACCCCACCGACTTGGTTCGGTAGCTCCTTATCTCCTCGTTGCTCGATGGCAACGGCAATGGCGATGAAGATCCCGGCGAACCCGAGACTGCAGCCGGTGGTGGCACTGCAACCTGACTTTCCCCTGGCACGCCTGCAGAGAGTCCATGAGGCGAAGGAGTTGATACATCATCATTCGTGTCTCTAATCAATTTCGGGACAAGACGAGTGACGAGAGGTTTGAGACTTGGAACACAACCGCAAATTATTGAAAGATTGACTTCGACGACAGACCACATGAAAGATAGCGACGCGTACCCTGCGAAAACCCTGCTGTTAGCTCAATTGACACGTCAATTTCAAATATGGGAGAAGGACGAGTCGTACAACTAAAATCTACCCCTCCGATGTTTTGAATATGAATCGACTTGACTTCCAGCGAGCGAGAAATGGCAGCCTGTTGCAGAAAGGCAATTCGAACCACATCAACCACAGCCACAAAGAAACCAAACGAGAAAGTGACCACCAATATGATCTTTTGCTTGAAAGGTAGGCGCATTGTTGTCAAAAGCGGCATCGGAAGCAACAGGATAGCAATGTCGGTAATGATATTCACCGGCGACGAGGAGAGGTACAGGGTGACAATGTCGGTGCAATTCGCATCGGCCGGGAGGTGGGAAAGGAATACTGCGCCGATAGGACGACATTGGAAAACATTGACCAATGTTAATGCGAAGCCCGCTGCGTTCACCACAAACAGAGTGACATAGTTTGCCCATCGGAAAACCTTCTGATTGCGCGTCATTGTCAGGTAGAAGACAAGTATCGAGGTCTTGACGGCCATTAACGCCGGATTCTAATTGTTTGTCAGCATGCCATTGTTTTTATTGCCCTGCCGAGCAACAAAGGGCAGTTGTAACTCACATATAGGACCGTGAATGCATAAGTAGCCTTATTAAAAGCGAGTCCATCTTCAGGCTTGATATCATCGGAATGAAGGCCAAGACCATTCTGAACCGCATAGAATAGCGAGAAGGAAAAGCCAAAATCGATTAACTGCAGAGTTGGTTAGCCTCCGAGCTCTAGCACGAGGTTCCAGTCATGTGCCCGGTTCGCCAATAGATCGAGTCCGTTCTCGTTACATCCCCGGGTACATGCAGGGATCAAGCCGAGGGATCCTACCCATGCGACCAACATCAACCAGTCGTGTAACCCAATCTTTCTGACCACAAATATTCGCGAAATGAAGCGAAGGGCGACAAAGATAGAGGCGATGCAGAAAAAGGTGATCGAAACACCCAGCGTAGCTTGTTGACGACCTTCCATGACGAATATGACCTTTGGACTGTCCCAGCGGACAGTCCGATTCTAACGATCCCAATATCCAGTGTGGCGCAGAATATTGCACGCGATTGTATTCTTCGGATTCTAGTGTAAAGTCGCGATCGTAGGCGGGTTGAAATGGCGGGTGTGCGGAGGCGTCATCGTCTTCTTTCCGACGGAGTCCGAATCCGGGTATGGAGGACCGGGAGCGAAATGAGGCAGAATAACAGGGATTAGAATATTTGGGGGGGGTTGAGGTAGAAGAGAAAAAGAAGAAGAAAAAGAAGTTGAAAAAGAAGTTGAAGATGGTCAGAAAGTAATGTGGGGAGAGAGAAAATTAGGACCCTTCTACCCCGGCTTTGGCCCGCCAATCACCTTTGACTTGTCCTCTCTCCTTCACCCCTTTAAAGACTCGACAGGTCTAGGCTATCATGCTACACAAACACACAAATATACAGCTACACAGATACACAGCTACACAAATACAATTCCTATCCAGGGATTGTACATAATGAAAGATCGCCCACATATGTCTCACCCAATGAACATCCTGGACGAAAGCGAGCTAACCCACAATGAAAGTTCGAGCTTCCCGTGAGATCTATGGATGTGACACAACACTGTGATTGTTTTTTTGCGTGCAGGACACCTGTACGAGCACTCTGCCAGGGGCCGTGTTGGTCCGCGCCTATGTTGTATATAGGCAGTTCGGTCATGGTCCCCGCCCTTCCATCTTACCGAGTCCTAAAGTTTCACCCACTGGAATGCACGTGGCAATTACTATGTTGAATCAGCTGGGTGCTGCGAGGCTGTACTGAGGGGTGAGGAACTTCCACGTCAGACCGTCGGGTTTGGGATATTTGCGATCGACAGTGATCTACTCGCCAATTTTTAGTGTGATGTGTCAACCCAAAAGCTGCAGCCCTCTTACCCCATACTCCGTGCACCAAATCAGCATATGTGAGCATGATATTGATCTTCTACCCCAGATACATTCTGGTATTCTCCGTTCTGGACAACCAATCGATCTCTTATGCCCGCATGACAGTTTCCACACCGCGAATCCTCCAGGCACCGAGCTTGGCAGGGTGGACAGACTCATCCATGATTTTTACTATCACTGGATGAGCTTGGTGGTGCTATGTATACCTACATTAAGTCAAGTTTCTGATTGTTCACCTATATTCTGCCACTACAGTTTCGTTTGAACACCGCGATGACTACGGAGTATTTATTTTAAGGTCATAAGTTCCCGAGTATATGCGAACACGCCAAGAGGACTTCAACGGCTATGATCGTCAGCCCCTGAGATCAGCGGCTTCGCAACGTTACAAGGAACTACTTACTAGCTCCTTGGCTGCCTTCAAATTCTCATTTCAGTATGTAATTGCGAGAACCCCTCTCGGTATATCGGCTGCTATTATTCTCCGCTGCTATGCTTTTTAGTGTAGATTTCTCTCCGCTCGCATATGCTTCGTGCATAATGAATAAATGTGCCCACTACAACGTGGAGATCTCGGGAATACTGGATACTACTCGACTGCTTATCACATGGTAAAAAGGTGTCCCAAGATTATGTCGGAACCGAACGAGATCTTCGCTATGTGGGTATGTAGTTGCATGCCTTTAGTTCAATTCTTCTAAGCGAGCCGTAGAATGACCTTCTATTTGTTGGAGTACGAAAGGGTCTGCCCGTCTTCTCTTGGCCGGTGATATATAAGATGCCGACTGCCCAGGAGTTTGCATCAACGCTGGGAAGGTACAGAGTGACCTGACTACTTCCAAGGTTGTCCTTGTCAAACCAGCGGCTTCGTCTGGTTAATCCTCATCAAGATGAGACTCAACACGTTGCTGCTGGCGTTCGGGCTTTCGGCATCTCTCCGGGGTGTACAAGCCGAGACAGAAGTCGAGAAATCCATCGCTTCCGTCTGGGACGACTTCAAGAATGCAGTGAACTGCGGTGCTTGCCAGGTATGCCGGTGTTTGGCACTTCCATTGCTTATAAAGATTTTTTGGCTGACTCTACGCAATTCTACAGGTTCTCCTCGGTAGCATTAAGGTTACCGCAGGACTCGGCGAGGATTTCATGGTCGATGTGTTCACTGGATTGTGCAAAATCAGCGGGGTACGTTGACAGTTCTCGCGAGCTTACTGGGCTCAATTTCATTAATCATAAACATACAGGTCGAGGACCCAGATGTCTGCACCGGAATCATCGAGAAAGAAGGTCCTGCACTGCATGATGCTTTCAATGCTTTACAACTTAACTCTGATGCTTCCAAGACACTGTGCGCTAGTTTGGTCGGGCTCTGCAAATACCCTGAGGTTCATCCTTACAGTCTGGCATTCCCTTCACCCAAGCCAAAGACTGTGAGACCTCCACCTAGCGGAAAGACGCCGCTGAAGGTCGTCCATTTCAGCGATACACATGTGGACCTCCTTTACGAGCCTGGATCCAACTACGAGTGCTCCAAGCCCATCTGTTGCAGAACTTGGTCTGATGAAGATGCACCTGAGAATACAGAACACCCATGTGGACCATTTGGAAACACAAAGTGTGACCCACCACAAATACTTCAGGAGAGCTTGCATGCTGCTATCGCAGACATTAACCCAGAGTTCTCCGTTTACACCGGAGATGTGGTGGCTCACGATATCTGGTTGGTTGACAAGGCCGAAGCTCTGAAAGGGCTAAATGCCACGTACAGCGCAATGGAAAAAGATATCGGCACTGTGTACGCTGCCATAGGAAACCATGACACCGCACCACTCAACCTCTTCCCTGCGGATGCTTCCCATGAAGCCGATCCTCAATGGGCCTACGATACACTTGCGGAAGATTGGTATGCACTCACGGGCATTCCTTCCGTCAAGTCTGCGGATCAATTTGCCTCATACTCAGCCGTCCACCCCAACAGCAATCTGCGCATTATTTCATACAACAGCATCTTCTACTACATATACAACTTCTATATGTACCAGGAACCAATGGAGAAAGACCCACGCGGACAATTTGAATGGCTCATCAAGGAATTGCAGACCGCCGAGGACGCAGGCCAACGCGCATGGCTGATCGCTCATATCCCATCCGGTGTACCTGATCACTTCCGCGACCATTCGGAGTACTTTGACCAGATTGTGCAGCGCTACGACGCCACCATTTCAGGATTATTCTATGGCCATACGCACAGAGATGGGTTCCAGATCGCATACTCCGACTACAACAACCGTGACTGGAACACCGCCACTGCAATGGGTTATGTCGCTCCAGCGGTGACACCAACGGAAGGGTCACCCTCTTTCCGTGTCTACGAGGTTGATCCAGTCACCTTCGGTGTCCTGGATTACACCCAGTACATCGCCAACATCAGCGACCCATCCTTCCAGACAAAGCCAGAATGGATACCTTATTACTCTGCCAAAGCAGACTACGGATCCAAGATCTCTCCTCCGCTCACAGATCCCAAAGCTGAGATTAGTCCGGCTTTCTGGCACAACGTCACTGTCGCCATGGAACGTGATCCGACCGTTTTCCAAGATTACTGGGCGAGACGTTCTCGTGGATTCCAAGTCGAGAGTTGCGATGATGACTGCATGAAGAATGAGATCTGCCTTCTTCGCGCCGCTAATGCACAGTATAACTGTGAGAAGCCAAAGGCTTTCGACTTTTCTAAGCGTGATGGGCAGGAGGGTGATATCTTGCTGGAAAAGGAGCCTCATATTGACTGCGATCATGCTGGAATGGCGACGCTGGTCTCGAAGATGGCGCATCAGGCTAAACTTGAGCGGAGAAGGGAGCTTGAGGGCGATGATGGGTGATCATTTGGTAGTTGGTACATCTAATTCTGGACAGTAATAACTACCAAAGCTAATTTTGATAATTTATGCCATGCAAATGGCCTTTCATTGACAAACATAATAGCCGTGATCCTGATATCCTGGATATGCCAGATACCAAAAAAAGACCCCCGAAAAAAAAAGATGGGCCCGAGCCCGGGATTGAACCGGGGACCTCGCGCAATATTGCTTTGGGTGAACCCCTGGAGAGCTTGTTAGGAATTTGTGTGGATAATGGATCCGATTAGGGAGTCTTACTAAGCGCGAATCATACCACTAGACCACCCGGGCACTTGATGTCAGATGACCTTGTACTTACATACATAAACAGAATTGAATATATACATTTTCTTCTTTATATATACACCAGGAGCCTGGCCAGAATAGACCGAGGAGAATAATATCAACAATAGCTGCCATGAAGTATAATATTGGTACAAATACCGTTGCGACAACCAGAAATCAAGCAGTAAAGGCTGGCTCAGGATCTACGGGCAGAAGTCCCTGGCGATCTATCATCGCAAGAAGGTCTCCATCCATCATGAACTCCCCAAGTTCCATACCAAATGGCGAGAGACTAAAGTCATCCCTTGTAAGGCCTGTTCGACTACCATAAATAACGGGAAGCGTCGTAGTCGAAGCATCGAAGCTCGATTCTAATAAACAGTATTGTTAGCACAATCCCAGTAACATAAAGAAGACAGAAAAGAGACTGACCAGGTTCGTCTAAGACCTTGCTGAATTGTTCCAAGTAATACCGACATCGATCGACTAACTGGTTTCCTTCATCGAGCCTGGAAAGCGCTGCTACTGCACGACTGGGATATTGTCTGGCTTGGCTTGCTCGGTCTGTCATCGGGGATCCTGTTAGGCTTGCATCACGGTAGACCCAAACCACTCCGATGAGGACCAGTGCTGCATTGAAAGCTTAGAGGTTGTCAGCAAGCAAATCTACAGAGCGAGGAATCCGGGCATACTATAGTATAAGGAGAACCACCAAGCTCCCAAGAGGCTGTGCTTCCATCCAGGTTCTGATACCATGCGGTGTACGATATCAATGATCTCCATCGCGGAGTCCGCGCATATCCGCAAGCTGTTTATACCAATCTGCTGCAACAATCTCATATCCTGGGGATCGCGATCAGGGGACCTGCTTGCGGTGATAAATTTGACCAATACCGGGCGGTGGAGCAAGACTCGAAGATTAAGATATCTCAAGGTTAGGATGACTTGAAACTTCAACGAGTGATATTGAGAATTGGACGACATCTGGTCACGAGGCAGATTCTCAATACCAGCTGACGATATAAGTTGTAATGGATGGGCAAGTGCCCGTTCCCACGAGAACAAATGCTGTTCCAAGCTGAAGATGTGGGCCACGGTTTCGCTGACTGGCAATGGATCATCGCAGCCGATGTTTTGACCATAGAGAAGCTCTATGACGCTCCAGAGCTGCTTATAGAGTCCACTAGTACATATGTCAGAAACCTGGGACCATCGGTGTAAAGTCCAACTACTTACATTGTCGAGTTGAAGAACACAACACTCAAGGCCACCGTCTCGTCATCCACGAACCCTGCTGGAGTTTCAAATTCCCGTTTCATGGGCAGCTCGAGCTTGACGTAGCCATCTGGAATGGCTGCCGGTCTGCCAAAGGTCATGCTCAGAGTTCTATATTGTCAGCATATGTTTGACGTGTGGAGCTTTAGCCACTCACCGGTCTAAAACCACACAACCGTACCAAGTCCGCTTTCGCATCTCCTGTTCAATAGGAGAAAATACTTTGGACGCATGCCGCGAATGTAATCCAAGCTGAAGAGCGGCTTTGACGGCTAATCCATGGACAGTCCATGCTTGTATTGACTTTTGTGTGCCTTGAAGGTATTGGCCCATCAGAAGCAAATATTGAACTAGAGACACACAGTCAGGACAATGTTTCAAGAGGATCCGAGAGTTAGGAGCTACCTACCCACTTCTAGGGTTGTCCCTCGCAAGATTTCACTCCCACACAAACCAAGGCCACGCTGATAGAAGACATCCGATTCTTTGATCCGAGCATCTGCGCTCGCACTTCCAGGAATTGCAGTGATAGTAGCCATAGCCAGCACCATGTTCAACAAACCAAGCCAAGTTCTCCGTACCCCATTGAAGTTCTCCCGTGTCATCTGGTGATATGTGTCCATGAAGACGGGTGGGTATATGTAAGGAAATAGCAAGCCTGTGTTAGAGAAATAGCGTTTGATAAGCTCCAAAGTATTTGCCTGCGGCGGTAAAGCAAACATGTTCACCTGCATGCGCCGGTCTTGACTCCTCTGGCGTGGTGATGATGGTCTTGATGCATTCACGAAGCCACCCTCGGCTGCGCCAGGTGAAGGGAAATACCCCGGTTGGACAATAGCGCTCGACAAATGTCGAAGGAATGCAATATTCGAAGAAGGGCCTGGTAAATATTTAGCAATCTAGAACCCCCTTACCAAGCAGATACACTTACCAAAGAAACCGGAATCCTCCTCATCAGCAAAAATCACCGCACCCATACCATCGACAGAGTCCTCCGTCCCAGTCAAATCAGGTATCGGTGCAGAGATTCTAGTCTCAGCCTCATTCTCCCCAACATCCCGACCAGAAATAGCAGACTCCCTTTCTGTGTCCCTTTGAGGACCACAATCAACCCTTTTCGCCAACCCATCCAAATCACCCCTCACAGTCCCAAACGACTCCTCGAGCCTCTTTATCCTGTCCTCAAGCCCATGCAGATAGTCCTTCTGCACGATAACATTAGCGGCCGTTGATGGTGGTGTGTAAACACACGCAAACCCCAAATCCTGACATAACGAGCAGCTCGGCCGCCTGCCGTCACACCGGGATTTGCGGGTTCGACATGCATCACAAGCGACAGCTACACGGCGTCTTTTGGAGGCCCGCCCATTAGATGTTTCGTTATCTGGTGAATTTGATGCCATTTGATACTAGTAGTGTCATACGATTAGGGGTTGTCGGGACGTGGTTGTTTCTGGGGATGTGTCGGATGGGGTAGGTCGGATAGCTACCCGGTGTTTCCGGGGTGAGGATATCATCCAGTCATGGTGTACAGCAGTCATTATCTTGACTTTTTCAGATATATTTCCAGGTGTATATCACTTCTGTTTGATCATTTATTGCGATCAATGAATCTTAGTGTTTCCAGACTTCGGTTCAGTGGAGATATTTGAAAAGCGCCCGAGCATGGAGATAATGCTTTGTTCATGAATGTACTATTATACGAAGCAACCTTGTATATATACACCGTTTAATCCAACAGATATCTACCCAAGACATGATAAGCTCGTTAAATCGTAAAGCGGGCTACCCGCGCCCAGAAAACCACCACTGGAAACACCGGGATCCAAAAATACTACACATAAAACAATCAACTACCTCCATGGGTAGATATCACTATCTCCGGGGGAAACTGAAGCCCCGGTGATGAAGTTGTGGGGCTGACCTCGGAAATAGATGGTGCTCTACTTCGCGAGCTCGGCGTTATATCCCACGGACCTAATGTTTGCCACTCCGCAGGCGCCGACCCAGGAGGACACTGCAAGGTTGATGTCCCAGATATCCCTTGTGTCGGGAGTGAATTCGAGTGATTTTGACGGGGCCTTGGCTGCGAGGCAGCTGGGGTAGGCAGTGAACGACGTGTTGGACTCCTTGGCCTCCTTGAGCTGCCTTCCCCATTATCCACGGAGTCCCTCCTGCTTATAAAACTTCCAGGTCTTGATCGGTTATCAGGTGTAGATGACCTTTTGTATTTGTCTTGTAGGGTTTGGAGATTTCCGTTTTTGTATTCTTCTCCTGGGGTCTGGGGATAAGTTGTTTTCGCTTCGGGTTTAAACCCAGTTTTTTCGATTTGTTTGTGGGCTTTGGCGGTCATAATGGCACTTGCTGCGTTTAAGAAGCGGGCAACCCTTCGCCTTCCTAGATCGTGTTGGGCTTGGGTGGTAGTGGTTTGGTTGGTAGTAGGGCGGCGTATGGTTGTCATTTCGATATCGGGATCCTGTCTCTCGGCACTTGTTCTAGAGCCTCGTGCAGAACTGCTTCCGGTCTCTGATACAGAACAGTCGCAGTTTGGGCATTTTCCGACAATAGTCTCTTCTTGCTGCCCATCTTCCCTGCCCGCGGCTTCCATATCCGCAGAGAGAAGCAGATATAGTGACCCCAATACAGCGAGTGCCGTACCAACAATTGGCGCCCATTGACCTAACGATTCATCTGTTAGTAAACTTACGCCATTTGCATTGTCAATGACCAAAGCCAGATAAGATACAACATTTACTTACCAATGCTTTGTATAGGCTCTGTTTGGTGCCTCATTTGCGTACTCCAAAAGTTCATTTCGCCTTTGGCGAGAATTGCCAGCACTGCTGCAGCAAACACCGGTATCTCAATGAGCGCTAACCATTTGCTTATCCTGTCGGTAATCCTAGTCATATGGTTGATGGTAGCTCCGTTGGTTCCCACAATCGGTTCATCTGGTTCCTGCTTAGGCTTTCCATTTGAGAACTTCTCCCAGTTATCGTCTAAGATTTTGATCCACATGGATACCAACGACAGGATGGCAGGGATGCAGCATGCGGCTGCAACGAGCGTACTGGCATTGAACGACAGCTCACGAGGCACTGGGATCACGTAGATATTGTCGGCTGCTCCTAGGCGCAATGGTGAGACTGGCCCATTATCTGGGGTACAGGCAATGCCACAGTTGGAGCCATATGGGAAGTCACCCGTTAAGGCCCAGAGAATGCTTGCCTCGTCGTCAACTGGGCAAGTAGTGGGTTTGAGACGCATGAATTCCACGATCAAGCTCACTAGCCCAGCCAGCAGAAGGACTGTCCACAAAAAGATGATATCACGGCCGGGATTGTTGAAGTAGGTTCGGGACAGCCTGACGGTGGCTGGGGCGGTTAAGATACCGATTGCGCAAAGCTGGAATGCCCCGTAGATATCCATGTCGACAGCGCCTATAGAATATTAGATTCAGTGATCATTCCGATGGGTCACGCCAGGTAAAAAACATCGACCCGTTGCAAAAGTTTCGCTCGACTCACCGTCGACATGAACCGCAGCAAGAACAATCCCATGAAGAGCTGCGATAGCGGGAAAGAGTAACACAGCGGCTAGACAAGCGTTCCGAATCCATTCTACTTTGCGAGCAACTACACAGGCTGCAATTAAAACATAGTATCTGGCGTGAGTGTCAGCATATCATGATAACTCTACCGGTCTCTTTGTAAAGGAAACATACAGCACTCGGGTCCCCGGGCCATATTGACCGGAAACCGGCCATGCGCAAACAACCTCGCGAGATAGGGCGCTTGCAGCTGTTGTCACGTTAGGGGGCGATGCAGTAGCACGATGCACAAGAGCGTTCTCTAGGAAGGGGGTGACAAGGGGAATTGCTGGCATTGCATGTTATCCGTCTCCGGTGACGGTAACTTTAGGATAAAGGAGCAAAAAAGGCATATATTAATGTGTTGTTGTGTTGTTCTCTAATCCTGACAGTAACTTAATGAGGCTCGACGTGGTATCATAAGAAACGAAGAAAGAAGTAAAGCAAGGAGCCTCTGGGCCGTCTTATCCACGAAGCGCTACTCCGCAAATTGACCTTGATCAACAAAGCGAAGAGTGCATGCAGCCCGGGTGCGAGTTGTTTCGTCAGCAACAGCCTCATCTTGGATTTTAGAGCCTCGGCCTAGCTGGGATTGGATAGCCCTGGCGAGAAACCTCTATCGTTAAGGTCAAACCCTCGGAACGACAAGTGCCCCGTGATGTTGATTTGGGCGGGCGCAGCAACCCGGGCGTGAATACGAGATGGGGCAACCTCAGCTCCCGCTGATTGGCAAGTTGAGCATGTCATACATATTGCGCAGTGGCTGTGTCTGTCGAGCGATTTGTAGCTGTTTCCAAGGGAGTTGTAATGTAGAAGAAACATTTAGCGATTCAACCGAAAGTCACAATAATTTCAAAAGGCTAGTGATATTGGCCGAACCATGGGTCCAACAAATTAAAGCCAACATTAAAGTCCACGTATGACGATCAACTTCCCAAAGTGGAAGAATGCGGGGTTCTCAAATTTTGGCCAATCTCGAAGAGTCTTGACTCCTTTTCTTGGGCGTTACTTGCCAACAGCTCACACAGGCTAACGAGAATGTCACTTGTGTCCCGTGTCTTACTCTTCTTTTTGATCTTTTCGATTGCCCTTTGTTGAGGCTCAGACATTGGGATTCTAGGCGAAAATTTCTCTCATCCTGGTTCTCGTTGTCGCAACGTTGCGTTAGCGTCGAAGCAACTGATTACTTCGCCTGGATTCTAGCTCAACTTTAATAAAGCACGCTCTCCGCAAAACCCACTTCGACACGGAGATATTCCACAGCCTCACAGGGCTTGCTTAACGCTTGCTTGACATTCATTAGCAGCTTGGGTTCCCACCTCTCGCCCTCCACTGGTCTATGTCAACCTATGTCATAAATCATTTGACCTTGCCGCTGTGATTATGAGGGGCAGTCCACTCGATTTCCCCACATCTTGATAATTTCACTTCAAGCATAACAGAGAACAACGCGCAAGCAAAATTTCTCTGGATCTTTGACAGGAAGCAACTAGGATCGTTGCTAGAGATCTCTTGCACAACAGAAATGCGTTTGCAATAAAAACAAGAGTTGGATCTTCATATGCACATTTCTCTTGTTCCGCATTCCGGTATTTTGTCATGCCCGACAGTGGCTGAAGCACGAGAGAGAGGCTGACTTGGTGCCTGACGGCAAAAGCTACCCAGTGCATGTCCTTGAACCTCAGAGAAACAGACATTCAATATGTACGACGAACTTGACACATCGAAAATCAAAAGTTGGCGATCGATCATCACCTTGATCATTTTTGTTATAACTAGTAAGTGTGGCTATGCCTACAATGTGAGATTGAGACTTACTTTTGGCTTCTTTGCGCAGATACCATTGTCCTTTTCCCATTCCATATCCCTCTATACCTACCTCGATGGCTCACCAACGGGTTTCTGGACATCTTGAGTGCCATGCGCATAATACCCCACCGGACTCGTTCTCGATCCAATGATAAGCAACCCATTTTTGTGAAGTTTCGCTTTCCATTGAACTTTGTCACGGCGCCTTTAATAGCGGATCTCTTCCTTCTCGCTATTTTGGCTATTGGCCGAAAAGAGGTACATGATGGAATAGTCGGGGCCGACAACATTAATCCCATTGATATCATGGTCTTCTTCCTCACACTCGCCTACATTGCCATCTCGATTGATGCCTCCGGCCTTATCAGATATCTGGCCTTCAGGGTTCTCCAAAAGGCAGGTAAGGTCGGCCACCGACTGTTCTTTTACCTGTTTGTGTTCTTCTTCGGGTTAGGTAGTTTCATCGGAAATGACCCGATCATTCTGTCCGGTACAGCTTTCCTCGCATACATGACCCGTGTATCAAGCAATATCGTCCACCCCAGAGCCTGGATCCACAGCCAGTTTGCTGTAGCAAATATCGCCTCCGCGATTCTTGTCTCCTCCAACCCTACCAACCTAGTCCTTGCAGGCGCCTTCAAGATCAAGTTCATTGTCTACACAGCCAACATGATCGTTCCTGTAGTTGTGACGGCTATCGTTCTTTTCCCATTCCTGCTATATATCATTTTCGCCGACGAATCCCTCATCCCTCTGTCCATCACAATGCATGAGCTTTCTGAGGACCAAAAGAATAAAACACCCGTGAACCCCAACATTCCTCATGCCAGAGGAACCTCCGAAGAGAAAGAGGAAGCGGATGACCTGGAGGGAAAGCAGCTCTCGCTAGAAGAGATCATGAACCCATTCTTAGATAAGAAGGGTGCATCTTTCGGGGGGATTATTATGGCCGCTACGCTTATCACCCTCCTGGCAATTAATGCATCAGGCAAAGAGAATCCCGTTTTCTGGGTTACATTGCCTGCTGCTTTTGTTATGTTCTGCTGGGATCTCGCATTTGGTTGGCTCCATCGCCACGACACCCGTGAGATTGCCGCGAAGGGTCGACAGGAGGTTGAAGAGGCGCAGACAGAGCGAGAAATGCGCAGACAAGAGGAGCAGCAACCACTGCCAGAAGTGATGGGTCCGGATACCTCGGGGTCGGACCAGCCTGAGCAATATGATGCTTTGGGTATGCGCCACTACAGCGAGCATACAGATGACAATACCTCGCTTAAGAGCACCGATAGTGATGCCGCCTCAAAGAACCCCGACCCAGAATGCGGAACTCCATTGTCAGCTTCTGTCCTCGTCGATAAGGAAAAGTTCCCAGAGCTACGGCCAGGCGGCGTTGCGATTGACAGCAAACAACTAGCTCGCGCAACGACTCCCGAGGCACTGGACTCGAGACAAACCACCGACACGACTATCGATGAGGAGAAGCCAGAACATCCATATTTTCAGGCCAGCGGCCCACGCACGTTGGCGTCGCTCGCTTCTGATCTCTATCGCTGGTCACAGGAGACATTCCCCACCGTGACGGTCGTCGTATCCCACATGCCTTTCGCACTGGTACCCTTCGCTTTTACGATGTTTATCCTGGTGCAGGCGCTTGTCACCAAGGGCTGGGTTCCGGTTTTTGCGTACGGATGGAACCACTGGGTGGAAAAGACCGGGGTAATAGGCAGTATCGGTGGGATGGGATTCCTATCTGTGATTCTGTGCAATGTGAGTATCGAGCAATGGGCTGACCACTTTTTCTGTCTGAACTTGAACCGCTAACTCGTCATCTTCTGATAACCAGTTTGCTGGCACGAACATCGGCACCACGATTCTCCTCTCGCGCGTTATACAAGCATGGCAGAAAATCCACGAAGCCAACGGAACTCCCATCAGTGATCGCACATGGTGGGCCACTGTGTACACCATGGCACTAGGAGTCAATTATGGCGCATTTAGCACGGCGTTTAGTGCTTCGCTGGCTGGCATGCTGTGGCGGGATATCTTGGCGAGAAAGCACATCCGTGTTGGCAGTCTGGAATTTGCCCGTGTGAACCTTCCCATCATTGCTATCTCTATGGTGGTTGGGTGTACCGTTCTCGTTGGAGAAGTGTATCTTGTCAGAAGTGATGAGCCCTACGTGCCGTCTTGATGTGTGGATTGCGGGAGGCTGTTTAGATGTTCTATAGATTATGATGCTCTCGATGTTTGTTTCGCGTGGCCTTTCTCTCACGGAACGGGCAGACGATCTTACGAAGTCAATGAAGACCGTTTTACAGTTTTTCAGAACTGTGTCTATGGGAGAGTATCTTCGACAAGTGTTGTTCTCATTGTGGAATTTCCACTTATTCCAGGGGGTTTGTGTTATATTCTATCACTTGATCGACCTTCCCACAATACTCTAACCACGCATCCAACCACGTCGCACTCAAGGCTTCACTCATCCACAAGGGACTCAACGTCCATATCCTCCGAGCGATAGAAGCCCAATGCATCAATCATGGGCTTGTCGTCAAACCGATATAGATAAACCGGTTCATCAGCATCCGCAAAGTGCTGATATCTGTACCACGCCGGAACACAGAAGGTATCACCCTGCTCCCAGATATATTCCTTATCACCGATAGTAGAGTGTCCTTTGCCGGTGATGACATGATAGACAGCGGACGTAGTCTCGCGCCGGGAAGGCGAAGCCTTAGATGCCGAAATTCGCTCAGCACATCCCCCAAGGACGCGACTCACTATGAAAATCATTAGCCATCTTTTCACCTACCGAATCAAAGAAGGAAAGAGGGAACACGTACCTTCACGGCCATCTTCCTTCAAGTATCTCTTCGTAGCCCAATCCCCAGCAACCCCATCCAACTGTGCCTTCATGGTAACCCATGGGAAAACTAATGGCGAAGTGGTACTATCAACATCCTCCGCAGGATAACGGGGCTTATTGAAGTGCTCTACAAAGTGCACAGGGAAGTGTCTGAAGTTGGGTAAATCCAGCCCATCCAACCACACCATAGGCCCAGAGCCATCTTTGCCGTGGTCATGGTAGTTCCAGGTCGGGGTGAGGATGACGTCTCCGCGCTGCATCGTAATACGCCTGCCGTGGACAGCAGTAAAACCGCCCTGGCCTTCGATGATGAAGCGCATGGCAAAAGCCGTGTGTCGATGAGCGCGTGCAGTCTCGTTGGGCATCACGAGCTGCAGACCAGCGTAGAGGGTGTCCGTAGTGAAGGGGGCATCTTTGGTAGGATGTCAGAAGCAGTTATACGCAGTATACAGTAAGTAGAACGCTATGAAGCAATGTGAAAGTAAACGATAACTTTGTACATACCTCGAGCTGGGTTGGTTAGCATCAGCACCCGGCGCTCAGCCTGGGATGCTGGGACGAGATTTCCAGCGCGCTCCAAGTTAGGTCTGATGGTGCTGTACTTCCAGACATTTGGGACTGTTGTTGGGTTTGGCGCTGGGGGGTTCAGACGAGCCATCTGCTTCCATAGAGGAAGGGTCTTGCTTGCTTCGAGGTCAATGAGAAGCTGTTCCTCTGTGTCGAGGACACTTTCCACTTGAGTTGAAGTCATTGTTGGAGTTGATGTGGTAATGAGAAAGATCTTTAGATTGTATTGCCTTCATTCTATGAAGAAATGATCGCTAAGATATATCTTGACCACTTTCGTGAGATCGTCCTCTCTTGCTAAGGTCCGGGGCAAGATCGGGTAGTCTTCCCCGGTGCAATCCCTGTCGAGGGGTCATAAAGGCGGTGATCCAATGCGCTGTTGACGAGGTCCAATTATTTGACTTTGAAACAAAGAAAGTGACAATAAGCAAGATGGTGTCCAATGGTCAGGCCAATGGCTATGTCTCCTTGAAGGTGGGTTTCTCATCCCGAAACGGCAATGTCAGCGTCTCAAATATTGATGAATAGATAGACCCCAACATACCCCAGCAACTGTCTCGAATTCTTAAATGACCCATTGGCAGTCGAGAAGGCCATCCCTGCAAAGGTTCCCCTAAACATTATCGTCGTCGGTGCCGGACTCGGCGGACTAGCAACAGCCATTGCGCTCGCAAGTTCCGGCCACACTGTGACTGTGTACGAGCAAGCACAGAAGCTCGGAGAAGTAATGGCTCTCCTCCATCGATGTTAACAATAGCTGATCACGTACCACAGGTTGGCGCCGGTATCCAAATCCCATCCAACTCAACTCGCCTCCTGAGCAGACTCGGCCTGGACCCGTACCTGAAAGAGTATGTGACCGAGCCCGAGTCCATTTCTTTCCGACGCTGGCAGTCAGGAGATGTCATAGGCCTCACCCGACTCATCCCGAACTTCCGAGAACAGTTCGGCGCACCATACTATGTGATCCACCGCGCAAACTTTCATTCTGCGCTGCATAAACGCGCCCTGGATCTGGGTGTTACGGTCAAGGTCGCTTCGCGGGTTGTTGGATATAATATCGAGGGACCAAGCATTGTTCTTGCGAATGATGAAACTGCTTCGGCTGACTTGATCGTTGCCGCAGATGGTATGGGTCTCCCTTTTCAAGATATATATGACCGGCTCTGATACTTTGTAGGTGTTAAGTCGGTTGCTCGTGGAACTCTCGATAAGAGTGACAATCCTGCATTCGAGAAGACTGGGTTTGCAGCTTACCGGGCTACCGTGGATGTGGAGCGCATTAAGGAAGACCCGGAGCTTTCCTGGCTGTTGGAAAAGCCGGCTCTCAATATCTGGTTAGCACAAGTATGAAAGGATCTTCGAGATTAGACTGACCATTTTGCTAGGATTGGTGATCAGCGGCACGTAATGACATACACCATTGGAGCCGGCAAGTCTTTCAATATGGTTCTTTCGCATCCAGATGACAGTGATCCTGCAACCTGGGATCAGAAGAATACCCTCAGTGACATGAGACGCGAGTTCCAAGGATGGGATACCCGGTATGAGTCTATGGATCTTCCTGGCATGTCCCCTTATTAATAAGTTTCCAGGCTTGAGAAGATTATAGGTCTCATCGAGAAAACCATCAAATGGCCACTGATCAGTGGAGTCCCACTACCTCGCTGGGTAAATGGCAAGGTTCTAATACTAGGAGATGCAGCACATGCAATGCTGCCTTACATGTCGCAGGGTAAGTGCAGAATCACAATTCACATTAATAGTCACTAAAACTGCACAGGCGCGGCAATGGCCGTTGAAGACGGCGCAGCACTAGCACGATCCCTGTCCAAAATCGCGAACGCCAAAGATATCCCAAGAGCATTACATATATTCGAGCAGGTCCGCATTGAACGAGCTGGAATGATGCAGGAGGCGAGTCTTCTGAATGGGAAGCTGTGGCATTTCGCCGATGGGCCGCTTCAGGAAGCTCGTGATGCGGCTATGAAGCCCGAGACTATGGGTCTGCCTTTCAGTCACAGTCCTAATCAGTGGAGTGATCCGGCGACTCAAATATGGTGCTATGGATATGATGCCGAGCAAGAGATTGATCGAGCTTGGACGAAGTCGGAATTGTAGATAAGGCTGTTTCCAAAGGGAATATCCTATTTCCTTTTGAAGGAATATATCTATGTACCTCATATTTGATGTATCCTTCGTTCCCTGTCTCTTTGTTCTATCTACAAAGAAGTACATCGATGTCAGGTCTCTCATGACTTCCCCTTTGCTTCTGTTCATCAGTATCGGTCTAGTCACTATAGACATCCGATCTCCAGAAGAATACCTATGGTTTTCGAAGGATCATAATAATAATCATAAGATTTCGTCATTTTAGTTACCCCAATTTCCCCATCTCTCATTTGGTCAGTTACAAGAACCCCATCCCGGGTGTACACCCGACAAACCCGGTATACCCGGTCTATCCCCGTCATAACGACAGTAAAGAGCCATATAACGCCCCAACCCTCGGTATAAATTCCCCTCTATTAGCATATCCCGAATTAAACAAACGAGGATCAATAACAAAAAAAGAAAGATCCGAAACCATGTCTCTCCCATGGAAACGCCTAATCCGCTTCATCGCCACAGACGGCCGCACCCTGCGCGGCGAGCCAATCCTCCCCACCCCAACAACAGACCTGGGCTTTATAACCGAGTCCGACAGTCTGCAAGCACGAGTGATTGAAGGCGACGACCTGTACGACACGACGGGCAAAACACGCGTCACCGACGAAATCGTATCCGTGAAGACCATTCTAGGCCCATTGGCACAAGCAGATGTTCCTATTCTGCGCTGTGTCGGATTGAACTATGCAAAGCATGGTAAGCTATCCTTAGTGGAACAAAATCTCTCCGAGGACAGTTACTTATACATATCAACCGTGTCAACAGTCAAAGAAGCCGGCCGCACTCCACCCCCATTCCCATTTATCTTCTTCAAACCAAACACCACAATCCACGATCACGGCGCACCAGTAGTAATCCCGCAGATCGCACAGGACTCACAGGCAGATTATGAAGGCGAGCTGGTAAGACAAGTCCCCTGTTTCCGAATACCCTGTCCTGGGTAATGTCAGTATACTAACAAACGCCCATAGTGTCTTGTAATCGGCCGCGACGCCAAGAACGTCTCCACGGAGGATGCGCTTTCGTACGTAGCAGCCTATACCGTCGGTAACGATATTTCCGCGAGAAAGCTGCAGCGCGACCCGGCGCTCGCGGGACGTGTCCCGCAATGGGGATTCTCGAAGGGATTTGACACCTTTGCGCCATTGGGACCGTGCCTTGTTGCTGCGAGCGAGATCTCTGATCCTAGTAAGCTGCTGCTGAAGACGATCGTTGATGAGGAGGTTAGGCAGGAGGAGTATGTTGCGGATCTTTTGTTTGACTGTGCGTATCTAGTGTCGTATCTTTCGCAGGGTACGACGTTGCAGAAGGGCAGTGTTATTATGACGGGGACGCCTGGTGGTGAGTTTCATCTCTTTTTTGGTTTTCTTTGGTTGGATCGTTCGAGCTGACTTGTCTTAGGTGTCGGCGCTGGTCTTTCGCCGCCCAAGTACCTTGTCCCCGGGACGCAGATGGATGTGGTTATTGATGGTATTGGGACGCTGAGGAACGGCGTGGTGTTCGATTGAGCTGAATCATATGTTGATCGTTGATGCTGTTTAGGGCTTGAGTATAGACAGGCAAGACAGAGATCGCCGGAGCACTTCTTAATTGATCCAAAATTCAAGACAATACCGTAAGAGAACGCTATACAGCATACATATGTAGCCTGTCTTGGCTGGAAAGGAAGGCCCGCAATGGAGAGTCCCAAAGTAGAAATGAGGCGCAGCTGGCTTAGCATTGACCAGTACGGAGCAGTCACAGTCACTAACTAGCCTTGCGGTGCTGTAGTTCATTTCCAGTTTTGGGTTGACTTGGGTCTCAAAAATGGAAAGGGGCAAGGCTACTCCGGACAGAATACTCGTACAACATATAAACAGTCCTCGAAAATAATACCTGGATACTACTACGAATACTCGAGAGACTATTGGAGCAAACACGAGTCAAACGAATCGAGTTTCATTCAATGATCCGCCTCCTGCAATATGCCTTATTTTTTTGTTTGTTTTTCGTTTCGTGAGCATGATCATCGTAATCGTCATTGGCCTGTCGCATTTGCATGTTCGAGATCTCGTCAAGAGAAACCGTCCATGACTTGCCAGCATGCGCGCAGGTATCGTAAGCATATGTGTTATGGCCGAATGGGGTCCATCATAGGGTGGTATTGCACAGGAAGACTGCGAAAAGATTCTATGAACATGAAAAATGGGTAAATGTGAATGCTGTCCGCTAGGGACACGCGAAATGGTAAAAAAAATCCAGGGTCAAGGGAGTGAACGAAAGGTAAAACAAGGGCCCGGTCTCTCTGAGAGATAAATGATTGCGCTCTCGGAGAGACCGGGAAAGAAGGTCGAAAGATCACAGTAAAGTGAAAAGAAGGTGAAAAAAAAAGAGGGGAGGGCCGTCAAGGCCATATCCACTTGCGCAATCTACCAGAGATGTGTCCATTGTTCGTATTCATAATCGTGGCCATCAACACCAACGCGCGGTCGACGCGACATTTAGTGGATGAACCACTTGGCACCAGAGGCACGGCCCTCGTCCATGGGGGCAAGCTCACCGAAGAAGTGACGAGACAGATCGACGGAGCCGTTGTCGCAACCCATGCACTTGTCAACCACAATACCGGTGGCGGTCTGGCCGTTGTATGTGACGGTGACGGTCTTGCCGCAGTCACTGTCGGCCATGATACCGTGGGGCAGGGCGAGAACGTTCTCAACGGTACCATCGTTGGTAGTGCCGCAGGAGCTGGGGTTGGTGGAGGTAGTGGCAGTGTCGTAGAAGGTGATCTCGCCGGTGCAAGGGGCGCCCTCGGAGCAGACACCGGTGCGGGTGCTCTTGGTAGTGGCCTCGGTGTTGGTAGCCTCAGTGTTGACGGCAGGGGTGGCAGCAGGAGCAGCAGGGGCAGCGGCAGAAGAGGTCTCAGCCTCTACGACGGGAGCGGGAGCCGGGGCGGGGGCGGAATAGGGCTCAGCCTCCAAGGTGGGAGCAGCGGGAGCGGCAGTGGTGGTGGAGGAGGTGGTCAGCGCAGCCTTCTCCTCAACGATAGGAACAGCGGCAGCGGTAGTGGTGGTGGAGGTAGTGGGCGCAACCTTCTCCTGCTCCTTGGTAGGGGCTTCAACAGCAGGAGCAGGGGTAGTGGTAGGGACAGCGTTGGCGACCATAGGGACCACAGTAGCGGTGTGAGTGGCCTGGGGGTAGACGGTGGTGGTGACATCGACGGTGGTCCAGACGATATCAGTCACGGTCTCCCAAACAACGGCGCGTTTAGCAACGGGGGCCGAGTAGCCAGTCATGGCGAAGAAAGCGCCAGCAAGGGCGAGAGTCTTGGTGATAGGAGCCATTGCGAATGAATCGGAAAGATGACTCGAGAGAGTGTGTGTGATGTTGTTTAAAGGATTGATCAACTGCACAGCAGGAAGATTGGATTGAGCACTCGAAAGGAATGTGAGTGAGCAAGAAGGAAGGAAGGAATGGACTGAGAGAGAAGAAAGAGAAAGGCGCTGGGGGAAGGGTCTCGACTTTATAAAATACCGAAGGTAAGGCACAAAAGAAGTAAAGGACCCACTTCGATGGTTACTGGTCCCCACTTATCGACCAAACCCATGGTTCAAATCAAGCCACGATCCAGACTATGGACAACTCACTTCCTTTCATTCCTTACACCGGACTACGGAGTATATTGCACGAAGTCCCGTACATTAGAATAGATAAACAGAGGATGGAGTACGGGAATATCACAATCACAACTTCCCAGGTACCCGAGCCGGATGCCCCGGTAGATTCTCATTGGGACAGAAAAAAAGGCCCAGGGGCTTGTGCGCCACTCAGGCCAATTTTCTCCTGGCCCTAATCTCGTCTGGGGATAGACCGACGGCTGCTTCAGCCGATCCTACGACTCGACTGCCTACTGGGGTTTGACGACCCACATATTTTGCCTCGGGTACCTGACGAGTTGACCTATCAGAGACGGCAAATTATTTCTTTCTTTTCCACGGTTCTTTCTGTTCTTTCTTTGGGGGATACCATATCCGCTCTTTTTCATATCGAGATCTCAGCGCATCTTGCTCGTTAGCCGCCTTGCAAATGACGTGTGTCGCGGCGTACACAGTCGCAATGCACCCCAGGGGAGGACTGGTCAGAATACTGCAGTCTGCCTTTTCAGTCTGACGTGTCTGTGTGTGTGTATTGTACCGGGCCCGGGGTCAATACCGATGCGATTGGACAATGCATGAGACAAAGATGACATTCCAGCCAATCCAGCTGGGATCGGGGCATATTTTACTTGTACTCCGTGTACTATTATTATACTCCGTACATGTAATTTAATCCTCTCCACTTGTCAACGGTCTGGACTTGGACTAGATTTTCGAACCGTTTTTGTGGTTTTGGGTTTTTAGTGGGAGAATAGTGCCGATCTCTTAGATTTCGATTGTGTGAATATCGGAGTACTCCGTACCATGTCAACACCAATACATACCTATTGATGAGCCCTAAAATCTAGTCTCTTCACTTTCATGATCTCATCTGTCTCACTGTACTCCGTACTCAACCCCTCTTTGCAGCCCTAACCGGCCCCAACACGAAATGCAGGCACAGGGCACGCACCCGGGCCTTGAAATGTCCAACAGAACCTACATAAGCGATACCGAGAACCCGATCAGGGTGCTGACTATGTTCCCCAAGCAATCAAGATGCAGTCGAAATGCACCTAGAGCGCTGACTACGCATCCCCTAGTACCGGTGGACCTGTGTGCATTCCAGACCCAACCATCCTCTTCCCGAGAGGGGAGCCAGACCCTGTCGCACCAATAGCACCGGTACGAGCTCGCGAATTTGGTTGGCATCCATACTCCGTGCTGTATTCCACTTCGGCCAGTCCCCTCTTCTCCACCCGACCGACGATCTCCCCGGAATAGGATTGGATGACCATGGTTGGATGACATATTGCAATCAAACTGCAGATTTGGATGATTTGAAAGGAGAGGGCGGGGGTTGGGACTGGAATTATATGTTGTACTCCATACCTAGGTAATCTCTAGCAACGGGGAATTACGCGATGCCGTTGAACGTGCCTCGCCCGCAGAGTGGATAGAGTGCTCCCTACCCATACAATAAACCTTGTCCATACTATAGTTATATGAAAACATCAAATTTTGAAGCCATTCCCTCTTGTATCTTTAAAATAAAGATTATGGTAAGATTATGGTAAGCTTTGCCAATGCTTTACATTCTGGAGGCTTAATTTCGTCCGAGTCGATCGTAGAGATGATGAGTCCCAGTCTATTTTTTTGTAACCTTCTTGCGCGCTTGACTTCATGTATTCCTCCCCTTCACAATTATAAATTCGTCAATTCGCATTGGCAGGGTTTAGAGGCTGGTGGGACAATGAGCGCTTCGTAAGTCGTTGTTCTAAAGCGCTTTCTTCTTTCCGAGGGTCTGCTGTAGAAAATTCGCGGTTTGGTCAAGGTGCTCCGTAGTGGCTAGGTAGAAATTGAAAAGCTTCGAGGTCCCACGATGTAGCTTTGAACTAATTTCCTTTTGGACTAACTTAGTGACCTTTTCAGCATTCGTCGTATGACAGTCGCGCTCGGAAGAGAATTTGTCACGTCTGGTGAAAAAGCTGGTGCTCGCGCTGCGGATCTTCACCACCGAATATTTGGAACTCTGGCTCGTTTTCTGCACGATCAAGCATCAGTTGAGTCACCCGCAGGAGACCTGTATCCGCGGAGGCATGTCGGGTCGTACGAGATTTGAAGGCTTGTTCGCCAATTTCGTCAAGAGTGCGAAGGACATCCTTCGAAGCCAAGGCCCCGTCGTACGCGCGATACGAAATAGAATAATGCGGAGATGTTGGCCTCGTTCAGCAGTTTTCCAATCAACCTGAGCAGTATATCCCCACCGGGAGTGTTCGTCCGATGCATATCTTATACCCTTGAGGAAACTGGCTTTCGTATCTTGAACGATCACGGCAAACACCGATAGATGAATGTGGCGAGGGGTCACCGTAATTGAGTACGTCGCCGTCAATGGCGATATACTACCTCCGTACATTTTCCTAAAGGGCAAAACGCACCCTCGACTTTGGTACCGTGAGATCAACGTCCCTAACAAATGTTGAATCGCAATCCCCGAAACCGGATGGACAAGATGAGCTTGGTATAGATTTCATTAGACTTTTGGAGGAGAATACTAGAAAATTGGTAGGAAGGGACGAACAGCTCCTCTTCGACGGTCATGGTTTGCACCTTCCAGGATCTCGATTTATACATAAAACACAAAGTTTTCTGCTTCTATTTTGTGCCTCATGGGACGCATTTTGCACGGCCGTTTGACCAAAAAACCTCTTCTTGCTCTTAAACAGGCATATCGCTGAAAGGATCCGTGATTCGGTTGACACTTTTGAACTGCGCAGGGAGTCGTGAAAGGATGCGGTAGATCTACAACATAGTTCTCTCCGAGCTCTTGCGTGTGGTTGTTCCCGCATGGGATAGATCTGGTTTGCTGCCGTGATGCTGAAGCAAAACTACCATGCAATAAGAGGAAAACTACTCCGTACCATATCTAGAAGCGTGGCAGTATCAACCGGGACTGACCGGCGGCAATTCTGGGCCGATCATTGGACCCACGCGGGCCGAGCCAAAGCTAGCGCGCGTGTACATATCAGGTGAATCTACTCCGTACTCTTTTTATCATTGGCAACTCAACAAATGAGTGCATGCCATCGTCATTTATATGAGCCACTCATGTGCAAATCCCACATGTCGCAACAGGTACATCACAGTGGGGATCCAACGAATCTATCGACCAATGCTTTAGCAAGACATTGTAGGGGCGACGCTCTCCCTGTCGACAGTCAGCCCGCTCATTCGCCTCCGGCTCTGGGGGAATTATGAAACCGCAGTCACCTCCTGCACGCTCGGGATGGTCAACGCGTTCTATTATTGTCTATCCGATGACAACTGAGCATGGTGTTTTCTGCATCCCAATTACGCTTTGTACAACTCGTTCTGGTCTTGTTCGGGGTCATTTTTATCCTCTTCAAGCTACGACCGAGCATTCACAAGGCAACCGCCCCCATCCAGCAGGGCTGGGGCGACCATCATGATTGGGACGACTTCGATGCCATCAGAAATGAAACCCTTGGGGTAATGATTCCACTTCAATCTTCACCTGGAGATCTTTCGACTTGCGACTACTTAGGTTCAAAAGGTCTTCGCCATTAATCTCGTCAGCCGGCCTGATAAGCGCGACAATATCGCTCTGGGCTCATACCTCTGCAATTTCCACGTCGAATGGATTGACAGCGTGACTCCGGATAAAGTAGATGCTAAATCCTATCCATACGTATGTTTCCAAACTCACACAATACACGCGACGACTGACATTTTCTAGAACTGGAACCATGGCCATAAACAGGCCGAGTACGCGGCCCGACGGGCACATCTCAACGGACTCCAGCGGCATGTGGTTGAAACTGCAATATCCGACTTCAACTAATTATCTCCTAGAATTGTCCAGGAGAGATTAGCAAGTGCTATTATCATGGAAGACGATACCGACTGGGACGTGTCAATGAAAGCCCAGCTTCAAAGCTTCGCCCGCGCAGTCCGAGCCCTCCAGCTCCAGGATAACCGGGAAGTCCCGACTCAGTCACCATACGGCGACGACTGGGACATTCTGTGGCTAGGCCACTGCGGCGTGTCATGTAGAACTGATATGCCATTTTACCTTACCCCGAATGATCCGACTATCCCCATGCCCTATCACTTTCTCCCACTGTGGCGCGACCCTCCGGCATTCGAGGGGCACGAGAGACCCGATCACAGTCGACTTGCTTGCACAGCAAGTGACGCAGTCTGCTCAATGCTTTATGCCGTCAGCTACAGTGGCGCGCAACGGATCCTCGCAGCGTTGTCGGTTAACCCGTCTGGGCTTGCAGAAGAAATTGATATTGGTGCCCAATTTGACGTCTCAGTTGGACGCATGTGCGGTAATGGTTATTTGCGGTGTTTTGCACCTTATCCATCGATCACGGGCAGCTTCCATCAGGCAGGGTCAAGGGCAAAGTCTTCTGATATCAACAATGAGACCGGTGAGGTAGAAGCTTTTTCCAGCTGGGGAGTGATGTATAGCACAATGCTCAATATCGACCGTCTCCTGAAGGGGGAACGGACCGTTCATGCAACGTGGGGCGATGTGGATGTGTTGGATGTCATTCCTCGAGACATCACAATGGAGAAGGGGTCCATCTACACCCCTAAGACGAAGAACAGGAACTAAAGCTAACAGAAAGAGAAGTTGTTACATGGCGGTGAAATGGATATTAGGCTATATGTACGGAATCTAAATTGTCTGCAATCTTGGAGTGAATAGGAAAGAATCCTATACTACTTTATTCGCACGACCTGTACGCGAGGAAATATCTACACTTGTCTGCAGTCTACAAGAGAAGAATGAATAACGTAACACGTTATTGAAGTAATGATAAGAAAATCCAGGAAATATCATGAACCCACGCCGAAACACACAAACAAAGGGAAAAAGAAAAAAGTCCATCAAAATCATAATATGGGTACACGTGAGAAGCCACAACCATGCATGAAACTTAAAGGGAAACATCCAAAAGCATTAGAAGGGACATAGCTTAGCCCTGGCACATGATGCAAGCATCCTTGTTCTCGATGCTGCACTGCAGGGCAGCATCCGAGTAGATATCGCCCTCCGCAGCCCTGCTCTCGGCATCTTCAGGCTCAGCTTCAGCGCCAGCGTCATTGGTCTTGGCCTCGACAGCGGGGGCAGCAGCAACAGGGGCAGCCACAATGCGCGGGGTCTCCTCGACAGGGGCGGCGACCTTAGCGGTAGCGGCCTCGGCGCCGTTGGCACGGGGAATGGCCGAGTAAGCGGAGGCACCGGTGCCACCGACACGCTTCTTAGAGCGAGCGACGTTGGTGTCCTCGACCAGGAGCTGCTCCTGATCGACAGTGAACTGAATGGGGGCCGAGGCGGCCATGGTACGCAGGTAGTACATGCCGGTCTTCAGACCCATCTTCCAGCCAGCGAAGTGCATGCTGGTGAGCTTGCCCATGGTAGGCTCCTTCAAGTGGATGTTGAGGGACTGAGACTGATCGATGTAGGCGCCGCGGTCGGCGGCCATCTGCAGAATGTTGCGCTGGGAGATCTCCCAGACGGTCTTGTACAGAGCCTTGATATCGGCGGGGATGTTGGGGATGTTCTGGACGGAACCACCGTCGGCGATGATGCGGTTCTTCATGTTGTCGGACCACAGGCCGAGATCGACCAGATCCTTCAGGAGCCAAGGGTTGACGACCTGGAACTCACCAGCCAGGACACGGCGGGAGTAGATGTTCGAGGTGTAGGGCTCGAAGCACTCATTGAAACCCAGGATTTGACTGGTACTGGCAGTAGGCATGGGAGCGACCAACAGACTGTTGCGGACACCAGTCTCGGCAATCTTGGCCTTCAGGGAGGCCCAGTCCCAGAGGTCGGTGGGAGTGCGGTCCCACATGTCGTACTGCAGGATGCCCTGCGAGACGGGAGAGCCAGGGTAGGTCTCATAGGTACCCAGCTTCTTGGCAATATCCGAGGAAGCAGTCAAGGCACCGTGGTAGATGGTCTCAAAGATCTGGATGTTGAGCTGTCTAGCCTCGGGGGAATCGAACGGCAGACGCAGAGCCAGGAAAGCATCAGCAAGACCGTTGACACCAAGAGCGATGGGGCGGTGACGGAAGTTGCTCTTCTTCGCCTCGGGAACGGGGTAGTAGTTGATATCAATGATCTTATTCAGGTTGTGAACAAGAACCTGCACGACCTCGTGGAGCTTGCCAAAGTCATACTCGCCTCGGGCAGAGTCGACAAAGGTGGGGAGGGCGAGGGAAGCCAGGTTGCAAACAGCCACCTCATCAGGGGCACTGTACTCAACGATCTCAGTGCACAGGTTAGAGCTGCGAATAGTACCCAGGTTCTTCTGGTTACTCTTCCTGTTGCAGGCATCCTTGTAGAGCATGAAGGGGTTACCAGTCTCGGTCTGGGCCTCGAGAATAGCATACCAGAGCTTCTGAGCCTTGATGGTCTTGCGGCCACGGCCCTCTTGCTCATACTTGGCGTAGAGAGCATCGAACTCCTCACCGTAGACATCAGCCAGGCCGGGGGCCTCGTTGGGGCAGAAGAGAGTCCAGTCACCGTTGGCCTCAACGCGCTTCATGAAGAGATCGGGGGTCCACAAAGCGTAGAAAAGGTCACGGGCACGAACCTCCTCCTTACCGTGGTTCTTCCGCAGGTCGAGGAATTCGAAGACATCGGCGTGCCACGGCTCCAGATAGATGGCAAAGGCACCAGGGCGCTTGTTACCACCCTGGTCGACATAGCGTGCGGTGTTGTTAAACACACGCAGCATAGGAACAATACCGTTGGAGGAGCCGTTGGTTCCACCAATGTAGGAACCGGTAGCGCGAATGCGGTGGACATTCAGACCGATACCACCAGCGGTCTTGGAGATCATGGCACAGGTCTTGAGAGTATCATAGATACCCTCAATGCTGTCCGCGCTCATGTCAACCAGGAAGCAAGATGCAAGCTGGGGTTGGGGAGTAGCGGCATTGAACAGAGTGGGGGAAGCGTGGGTGAAGTACTTCTGGGACATCAAGTGGTATGTCTCAATGGCCTTCTCAATGTCCTCACCGTGGATACCGACAGCAACACGCATCAGCAAGTGCTGGGGACGCTCAGCAACGGTGCCGTTAATCCGAAGAAGATATGAACGCTCGAGGGTCTTGAATCCGAAGAAGTTGTAGTTGAAGTCACGGTCGTACACAATGGCCGAGTTGAGCTCCTCGGCATGCTTCATAACAATCTCATAGTGCTCCTTTGAGATCATAGGAGCAGGCTTATTGTTCTTGGGGTTCACATAATGGTAGAGATCGGAGATGACCATAGAGAATTGCTTTTTTGTTTGCTTGTGGAGGTTCGAAACGGCGATACGAGCAGCCAGAATGGCGTAGTCAGGGTGAGTAACGGTCATGTATGCGGCGGTCTCGGCAGCCTGAGATTTAGATGTTAACATAATGCCACAAGCTTGGGGTAAGTCAGCAGACATACCAGGTTATCCAGCTCAATGGTGCCAACACCCTGGTAAACACCAGAGATGACCTTCTGAGTGATGGCTGCAGCATCAATGTGCTCGGGGTCGAGGCCATAACAGAGCCTCGAGACACGTGCGGTAATCTTGTCGAACTGCACGCGTTCCTTGCGTCCATCTGCAGTTTGTATTCGCGTTAGCCCTCAATCCGAAACATGAGGCAAGCTCAGGTGGCTGTGGCGAGATGGAGGAGCAGAAGCTGTCTCTCGCCACCAATGTCTCTGTGTATCAGACGATCATGTATGCACTTACCTCTCTTGTAGACGAACATTTTGAAAATATTGATGAGGTAGTAGGGGCTGGAAAGAATAGAAAGAAGAGAACAGGGGGGGGTATCAAGATCACAGTAGGAGAATTGAGATGATATTAGAGTATACAGAAAGGGGGGAAAGATGTAAGCCCGTAGAGGGGTGTGAGAAGAAGAAGAGATCAGAGGGGCAGAGGAATCTTTGGTTGCCGAGTGGACGCGTTGTCTTTTCGCGTGCCCGCGTTTTTTCAGCTTACCAACAGAGGGATCCACCTTTGCTTTCAGAACTCAACGCCAGGCAGAAACTGGCCATTTATACCAGATGGAGTTAGTGCGGTGGTACTAACGATCCTAGCGTGGGTTTACTAGTGGGGATGCAGAAGGCGGTGTGGATCGAGAATAGGCGGTGAAAATGTGCCTTGCAGGTCGTGAATGGTCACGTGAACACGCGAATGGTCGCGCATGAAAACATGGCATCGGAAGGGCTGCCGCCGAGCGGCCTGAAGCATTCCGGGCTCAGATGATCTTCAAGTTCCAAGGCTACGTGTAAACTGAAGTTAGGTTTTTACAGCTTCAAGTTCGCCCGATTTCCTAGTCAAAATATCATATGCAACCCCGATTCCGACCTTGCGACCCATGCTGCATTCATTACACATCAATGTGATGGATCTACATCACATTCTCATCAAGGGGGCAAGAGGTGCGGGGGTAACTTCGAGAATACGTATGGACTGTTCGTTCTCTTCTACAAGGAGAACATGCTGGCATCTTCTGGTCATTGATTGGATTCATTTGAATCTGTCCACATCGACTGATTGGCAATTGAGGCAAACATAACTGTTTTCAATAATTGTGCTGTACGAAGGTGAAGAGCACATAAATCAATGCGATATTGGCAAATAAGAAGATCAAGGTTCAAGATCAAATATTGGCATCAACGAGCAACATATTAGAGAATTCGAACCACATCCCTGAACAACGATGATTCAGATCAGATCGAAAGGAGCAACATCAAGGCTAATAGTATATGCTCATGGATATTCGCGTTAGGCTGCTCTCAGTCAATGCTGGGTTCTTACAGCAAAGCAGCAGCGCCGAGGAACACCGCAGCAACAAAGGTGGTGGAAAGCTGGCGGTCGGACGAAGCGGCGTTGAAGGTCGAAGTAGGGGACGCGGCGGCACCAGACTCAGAGGCGGTACCGGTGCTGACTCTCCGAGGTACCGGCGGCAGCGCCGGTGCCAGTGCCAGTAGCGACGGCAGAGGAACCAGTCTGGGTAGCAGTGACGAAGCCGGTGGCGGTAGAGGTCTCAGAAGCGCCGGTAGCGGTAGAAACATTAGTCTCTAAAGAGAAGAAAATAAATAAGTAACCGTTTCAATGATATAACGTGCTGTCGGGTTGTGTTGATCCTTACCAACTTTGTGGCCGAGCTGGGCGCAGTTGTTGGCGAAGAACTTCAGGGAGGCCTCGCTATCGGCACAGTTCTTGGAGATAGTGGACTGGATCTTGCTGGCGTTCGAGCCGCAGATAGCCTTCGAATCGGCTGGGTTGGGTTGTTGACTAGATGTCATCAGCATCAGGACTCCACTGGGCATTCCTTCCATTCCTTCGAACATACCCGATAACCTTGAGAACACAGGCCGGGGTCTGCACGGCAATCACGACATTAGCCAAAGCCACAATGGCAATGACAAAGATCGACTTGTTGAAGAGCATGATGAAAGATTGGAGATCAAAGATCAAAGATTGGAAATGATGGAAGGATTGGATTCAGGATCGCACAGCGAGTCTGGAGTAAAAAAGAGTGTATTGGGCTAAAGAGCGACTGTAGAGAGTGTGGAAGAGTGGAAGACAAAGAGTGACGAAGTGGTGAGGAAGATAAGGTCTCGACCAGAGGAAAACGGGGGAAGAGAAATCGGGCAACCACAGTTTCATCACAATCTGGAAGCCACGACGGGGGTCAGGGTCTGTTACATTACATTAATAGCCTTACAGAGATGTACCCCTATTATTATTTGGTCCATATTAGCAGTACTTTACAATACCTGTTATCTTAATACATGTATCTTTTGATCCCCGTAGCTTGTGACACTTCGGCTCCGAAAGTGGTTTAGCGTCAGGGACCTGTCCCCCCCAGATACAGGAGAGCGTCAACTGTCAGTCTTGAGGTGTGAGAGAATATATGGATGTGCTACTTGAGAGGTTTCAAGGTTATATTTGAAAGTATTAATCTTTAGGAGTGGTATTCGGAAGGAATTCCAGGTAAGGCAAAATTGGTTTGATTTCTTTTTTCCATTAATTTGTATTTTAGTGGCTGATCCAGATGGGGATTAGAGGATTTAAGCACTATTAATAACTTCACTTTTACCTCTAGGGCTAGATGTGCCACAGTTAATAAAAGACAACCCACCAACCTTGGAAGGTTAGAAAACAATAAGATATACTAATGCGGAGGGACCAATCCTACCTAGGTAGGTCTCTAGTAGTAATAGGCTTTAATCAGAGACTAACATTTCAATGTTCCACTAACACAAATCTATTGTTTTGTCGCGTAAGGGGAGAAGCTTATTATCGGCCTTTTGGCTTCTCTCGTTATAGATGCTGATAAATGTCCCTCATATACATAGGGCTGCCCAAGCATCCGTTGGAAGTTGTTCTCATCTTCGACGATCAAGTATAACCAATGGTCGACCCGTGAAGCCTTCAGTTGGCCGACTCCCTTTATGTTTTCCTCTCTTTGCGTGGCAACAACATCTGGGGTACATGAGTCCATGCTCCCGGTACATTTGGAGTCATCAAATCCACTCTCTAGGGCAATGTATTTCAGAGCTTGGAAGAAGTGACCAGTGCGATAGTGATCACTGAGAAGGTCAAGTGCCTTCCGCTTGGAAATATTTCGAAAAGGAACCTCTTGGGTAAAGAATACCACTGCCTTCTCCCTCGAAATGCGGAGATCATCCCAAAGCTCTATGTTCCCTAGTCCCTATCTGAATCCCGGCATCGGTCATAGTGCCTCTGGATTGGATCTCTTCGTGCTTTGTTTACATTGGTGGTATGACCGGAGCATCGAATATTGGGCGTCATCATGAACCTTTCCGATAATCGTAAAGTGGTATATAACCCGAGCATAAACGAGTATTTGAGCATCAGACTCACCCCATTTGTATTCGAACTAAAGAACTTCTTATCAAGTCCCAGTTGAGCCTTGTTGTGCGGAAGCTATTCCCACATAAAACAAATTTAGGATATTCATATCAAAATAGTATTAACTCTGTACATCATATGCCTTTGTAAGATCAACACTTGAACACATTGCCCGCTCGTCATAACTTCTCCCAAACAGGATCAAAAATACTATTAACAACCTCCTGCACCGGCAACCTTTGATCCACGATCTCCCTTCCATTAACCAAATCATTCTCTCTAGCCCTCTTATCCGCCTCAGCTTCATCGCTCGCAATCCCAGCCTTAACATGTCTAACCACTAACCTCTTCCTCGCAACCTCGAAGTCAACATCCACAAACCAAAGCTCATCCATCAACCCAGCAGCCGTTCTCCACGGCTCCCGATCCAAGCTAAGATAATTCCCTTCGAAAAACAACACCCGACAACTCGCCGGAATGGCAATATCCCCATCAACAGGATCCTTAATAGCATGGTCAAAGCTTGGCGCGTAGAGAGAGCCCGTCCGGGCCGTAAGCGGTTCCCGCAGAGCCCGCACAAGCTCGAGGAACTTCTCGCCGTCGAAAGTAAACGCCGCACCTCGTCGTGCGGCCGCATTGACCGGATCTGGCATGGCGGCTAGCTGTGCGCGCGTGAGGTGGTACCCGTCCATTGGGAGGGCGATGGCTATCGGTGTTGGTGTTGTTGGGTTCTCCGAGGCGTAGATTTTGTTAATTCGCGCTGCCATCATTGTTGCAAGGCCTGTTTTGCCGGAGCCTGGGATGCCGCTGATGGCGATCATTAGGCGCGCGTCGTCTGCTGTTGAGCAGAATTTTGCTGGGGTGGGTTGTTAGCGTTTGGACGTGATGATGAGGTTTGGGAGGGCGTGGATGTGACGGAGCGCATGTTTCAAGCTCTTATTCTTAGATGCGTAGATGGGGATTTACTTACCCCAGGTCTTGTTGACCAGTCGGTCTACCTGTTGATCCATGGTTGACTAGTGAGGTCTGGGATCAAATGTGTATGGAAATATCCGGAGAATTGGGGTTGCGCAAGGTGTGATACGAATGTTGATCGGCGTACAGTCAATGTTTGACGGATCTAACTACTTTGTATTTGTTACTTGCCTGAGTTGTTGAATCTAAGCATAACTTCCCCCCCGAACATATTGGCGGGGCTCTTCCGAGTGGGGACTGCTGTACTCCGAGACATACGTCACTTCAACTTGTCAGGTACACTTATATTTATTGGAATGTTTTTATATTACCGTGACGGTATCCAAAAATGTGGAAATATCTACAAGAAAGATGGGTCTTTGTCCGTCTGTTCAATTATAATCGGTAGATAAACCGGACGGAATATGAAGGTAAGAATGTTAACCTTGGAAGATCACAAGACAGCCTCAAAAGGACCTGTCAACGCCGTCGCAAAAGCAAACTAGAAAGTATTCCGTGTAACATTCGCCGAAAAACGCCATTGCCAATATCGCCAATATCAAATTTCATGTCATTCACTATCACAACCTGGGCGGCTGTGTTCAATTGTTGCGATTGCTTCGAGAAGCGCCCTCGGTGTCGGTGGAGTCCATGCTCGCATTGAGACCACGGTCGAGAGTGCGTGCAAGGCCAGCCGCGGCCCACCAGTCGTCGGGAATATCCTCACGGCGGGCAAGTCGATCCAGGATGACCTGCATGTGGTGGAGATCATCATTTTGGTGACGACGATCGGAGAGGGAGGGATTTTGGTCGTGCCCGTCGGAGAGAGCAAGAACGCTAGCAGGAATGATTGTAGGGATAGGAACAGGAGGATGGCTGCTCATTGTTGAATGGTGGTCGGGAATAATGCCTGCCCGTCCCATGAATTCCTGGAGAGCAGAGGGATGATCCTCGTCATCGGAAGAAAAGTCACAAGGGTTCAGTTGGTCAGGATAGGGGTCAAGTCCGAAGTGAGCACGGGAAGCTTCCGGGTTCATCGGCTGCGTCAAGTTGACAGAGCTTCGAGGACGAGCATTGCGCGAAATATCTGGGGCAGCGGCAGAAGTTGAGGCGAAAGAAGTATTAGTGGATGGAAGAGTCGCATCGGGTGTAATCGTTGAGAGCAAAGTCTCCCACGCATCGGTTTCCCGCTCTCCGTCTGGGCTGGGACTGCGCTGGCGATCCCCAAGCCCGTCTACGACGGGGTCTCGGGTTCGTCGAGTTTGTGTGTTGTGCGACCGGTTTTCTGGTGGGAATGAGGTATTGGAGGCGCGATCACTGTTATATCTGTCACGCATAGGGGGCAGACGCACGCCGCTGTCCGAAGGAGTCGAAGAAGCGCTGGTGTGGTATGCGAGGGCGGGAGCGAAGTTGGGAGTCAATGACGGGCTGGCATGGGTATTTCTAGGCTGACCGTCCATGCGACCGAGCATATCGGTCAAGACTTGATCGCGATGGTTCCTGAATATCTGGTTGGCTAGCTCTCTCTCAGTCTGTGGGGGCGGCTGGTTGGCTGTCTCTGCCTGCCTCGCAGCGCGCGACTGAGCCCAGTTGATGAGCATTTCCCGGTCGGCCGGTTCCATAGCTACTGCATTCTCGATAGCCCCATGTGGCGTGATGAAAGAAAAGCGCGGCACGCGTCTAGGTTCCACGGCGCCGCGTCGGAGCTCATCAATGATCTGTGAATGAAACGAAGCCAAGACATCGGCACGGCGCACGCGGGAGCTACTGTGTCGCGACGGTCCTCGGCGAATCGACGAGCGTGCAGTAGAAGATGAGTCCTTCTCCAAAGCAGACTTAGATGCTTCAGATTTGGAAGGCTCACGCCACATACTAAAGATCAAAGTTAACATTGTATCGCGAAGCAGTGGCACATGCGATAGCTTCACGCGCCAATGTAAAGATGAGATGACTTACGGGATACCCATTTTGCTTCTGGGGGCTAAAAGAAAGAGGCGAAAAAACAAAGATATTTGGAAAAGAAGGACAAATAACCGGAAAGGCAATTATTGAACTAGTAGAACACGACTTGCGATAACGGTGGAGATGGTTGATGGAGACGGGGGAGATTGGGTTTTTTCGCCTGAGGCTGGGGGTGGCTAGAGTGGCTGGATCACGTGCGTATTGTTCAGGCAAATCTTTCATTAGCACACTTGTGCAATGTCTTTTTAGGCAATCAATATAGAGGATTGCTTCGTAAAACTCCTTAATTGAATTAACTGGTAAATGTCTGAATTCTATAACTAGGGACCTCTCATATTGTAGCAAAGAGAAGAGATTTATGCCTGAGGCATAATTATAAAATCACGTGGGCTATTCCTCCGATCACGGTAAGCTCCGGCCTTTTGAAGGTGGACTACCGTAGCCTACCCTCATTTTGGCTTTGCTTTTCTTACTGACAATGAAGCTTTGAAGTCCTGAACCTGCCTGTCGCTAGCTTATCCTTTGGTCAATAATGACAATTGACCGCGAAATTCCTATTACGCTACACTCGGAGGAATGATTGAATTAGGATTGAGTCGGGTTGCGAGTCTGCTTCAGCAGACTCCGCTTTCATGGAAGGCCGTTCACATTGCTGGAACCAACGGTAAAGGATCTATCAGTGCCTACCTCTCCCATTTGCTGTCCACCGGCGGAGTGCGTTGCGGCCGCTTCACTTCCCCGCATTTAATTGATCGGTGGGACTGTATTACAATCGGAGAGAAAGTGGTCCAGGAATCCCTTTTCCGACAGTTCGAAGACCAAGTCAAACTACGAGATCAAACCCTAGGCATCGGTGCCTCCGAATTCGAGTTGTTGACCGCAACAGCGTTTGAGATATTCAACCATGAACGAGTCGAAGTTGGTGTGGTCGAGGTGGGCATGGGAGGCCGTCTAGATGCAACAAATATCCTGAATAATGTTCTCGTCTCGGTCATTACAAAGATAGGGGTAGACCACCAGGCTTTTCTTGGATCGACCATTCGGGAGATTGCCCGTGAGAAGGCAGGCATACTCAAACCCGGAGTCCCTTGTGTGGTAGACAATACAAACAGTGCGGAAGTGGTTGAAACTGTGAGGTCTCGCATTCAAGAACTGGGTATTGATTCCTTGTTTGTCTCTCCTGCAACTGTCTCCGAACAAATTCCGGCACTTGCACCTTACTTCCAGAAGTTTGATCTAGAGCCTCACCAACAAGAAAACATGTGCTGCGCAGTCTCCGCACTTCGTCTTGCCCTTTCTCGGCTACGACCTGAGATGGATGCATTTTCGTTGCTTCCATACCTGGCCGATGTAACATGGCCGGGCCGTTTGCAAAATATTGTCCTCCAACCTTTGATTGGTCGTGCAGAGCCTATCCTGCTCGATGGTGCCCACAATGCGCAATCTGCCGAAGTCCTCGGCAAGTACGTGGACCGCAAAATGCGTGTTCAAGGCCAACCGGTGACTTGGGTTGTTGCTGCATCAAGTGGAAAGGATCTAGCCGATGTGTTTGGCTCCATTATCCGGCCCGGAGACCGAGTTGCCACCGCCGAGTTTGGTCCCGTGGATGGAATGCCCTGGGTCCAGCCAACTAACGCCAAAGAGCTCGCCTCTTCCCTTAAAGCTATCCAAAATATTGGCCAAGTCCAGAGCTTTGAAGGGGATTTGCTCCCTGCCATTCAGTGGGCTAGTGAGGAGGCCCAAGGGGGGCCTCTTGTCATTGCTGGTAGCTTGTACCTTGTTTCTGATGTGTTGCGCCTTCTCCGTGCCCAAAAATGATACCCTGTATAGAATTGATTGGATTCCCCGATCTATATCAGTAAATAATAGAATTCTACGGCAACAACGAGCCTTCTATTTCCTTTTCCACCTCTCATCCCCTGTAATAAACTGCGCTATACATTAATATATTGTATCCTTTTTGGTCAAATGCCAAAAAAATTGCACCAAGCTGGGTATTATAGGGCTGATCGGCGATTGTCCAGCACAGCCTGCATGATGCGGCGGGTGGAGCACGAAAGTTCAAAACAACCACGATTTCTTTGCGAACGACCCCTTTCACGCCCTATTGTCGTCTCTATTAGATCGATTATTTTCAGGATTCTCCATGGTGATTGTATTCATCTGAAGATCTTACATGCGCCTCGACTTGTCGTGGAAACGGCTCTCTAGGGCGTGAGAGCTGAAGTGCTGGAATGTTCACTTGGTGAGACCCTCCCCACAACGTCCGCACGCGAACGCTCATTCGTGATGCTTGTTTGTGCATTGATAGACTCGGACTAATTGCCAATAATGATTGCCAGAACCTGTGGACATGACCTCTGAGACCGTTGCTCTCAGCACTTCTAAGGTTGCCTCCTTCCTCGGCTTTCACCCCACCCCCCTCCACCTTAAACCACATCGTGAGACCGACAGCCAACTCGAACACGTATTAGGATACGGTCGATCCTAGTCCGCTGCATCATGGTCGCTCGACCCGGCGAAGGGAGCGAAGGGCAGCATCGCCCTCTCACCCCCTCCTCGAGAACCCCCGGAACACCGATAAAGCCGCGATTGACACGAGTCGGAGCGAGTCCGACAAAGCGAGAAGAGAAACCGAAGGAAGATAAAGTTTTGAAGTCGTCGGCAAAAGATGTTGCAGAGCTTAAGGACTATGTATGGATATAACGCCCTGTTTTCCCGCAAAACATGGATTGGGCAGATGCTGACCTTGGGTGTTGATGGTAGCAATTGGGGGACTGTCTGGGCAAAGGAGCTTTCGGTTCCGTGTACCGCGCGTTGAATTGGAATACTGGGGAGACTGTCGCCGTCAAGCAAATCAAGTTGACGGATCTTCCCAAGAGTGAATTGCGCGTTATCATGGTATGGGATCAAACCAGTCTCGGCGTTCATCTGATGTGCTAACACGCGACGCAACAGCTTGAAATTGACCTTCTAAAAAATCTGGATGTGAGACACCCGCCAAAATATATCAAGGCCCGTACTGATATGGTCCTTGCAGCACCCCAACATTGTGAAGTACCACGGATTTGTGAAATCCGCTGAAACTCTGAACATCATTCTCGAGTATGCCTCTCCCGGCTTATTCATCGGAACACGACACTGATGGTTTATAGGTATTGCGAAAATGGCTCGTTGCATTCCATTGCCAAGAACTTTGGTCGTTTCCCTGAGAACCTTGTCGGACTTTATATGTCCCAAGTTCTTCATGGCCTCCTCTACTTGCATGAACAGGGTGTTATTCACCGAGATATCAAGGGTGCAAACATTTTGACCACCAAGGAAGGACTCGTCAAGCTTGCAGATTTCGGTGTGGCGAGTCGGACCACGGGCTTGAGTGAATCAAGCGTAGTTGGTACGCCGTACTGGATGGCGCCCGAAGTAATTGAGCTTTCAGGCGCAACGACAGCTTCCGATATCTGGAGCTTAGGGTGCACTGTCATCGAGTTACTCGAGGGAAAGCCCCCTTATCATAACATGCAGCCCATGCCAGCATTATTTCGTATTGTAAACGATGATCACCCTCCATTTTCCCAGGGTGCCTCGCCGGTATGTCTTTCTCGATTGTTTAGACATTCGTATACAACGCTGACTTTACCTAGGCTGTGAAAGACTTTCTTATGCAATGTTTCCAAAAAGACCCCAACCTTCGCGTCTCGGCAAGGAAGTTGCTTAAACATCCGTGGATTGTCAATGCGCGCAGAACTGAATCTGTGATCCCCAAGAAGTCTACAGAATATGAAGAAGCCGTCAAAAGTGTCCAAGAATGGAACGAGGCGTTGCGGTCACCCGAGACCGGAACTTCAAAGAAAAAGCAGAGGCCAGACCACCCCAGTACAGCAGGCCTGTCATCTACCCGGAATAACCCATTAGTCGATAGCCTACCTTCCCCAACCTCTATCAAATCCACGGATCGCTTCCGTTCACCTGTGTTAGCAGGGGACGACAATTGGGACGATGACTTTGCTACTGCAATCTCTCCTAGCGCACTCAAGTTGCCCCATCTACGGCCACATGATAACTTTGGGGGCATGCTGTCTTCCGAGAGACTTAAAGCTTTTGCGTCACTTGATGGGACTATACTCAAATCGGATGACAATTCTGATCCCTTTGAGGATACCTCAGGCTTCTCAGACGACGATTTACAGACCATTCGACCATATCCTGTCAAACCTTCTGTAGCAGAGCCTTCCAAACCTCAAAGCCCTGCAGTCTCCCAGCCCGGGCCCAATGCCCCCGTTCCTGCATTGCAAAATGTCCCAATGCTCACCCAAAATCCTATGCCGAGACGCACTCGTCCGACTCCTCGTCCGACCAATCTCTACAAGGAGAACACTGTTGATGATTATTCAGATCTCATTATGGCCAACGAGGATGTACTAGATCGAAAACTGGGTGGTTATCAGGTACAGTCTTCTCTGGCAAGACTTCAGTTCCGTGTATGATTCTAACGTTTTCCAGGACTTCGAGGATGATCCCTCATCACCCATTCATGAAAACATAGGATACAACCAAGTAGATGACGACTTTGGTGGCCCGCATCCCCAGCTGCGCAAGCAGCTTTCTGTGAAGCGCGACCGCTCTACCATTGAGATCCAGAGGTTTGCTGAGAATGAAAATGATGAGGACTTCTCTGATATCCTTGGGGCCGGTCAAGCTGCTCTAGATAAGGCAGAGAGCGACGATGGCTCAGATCAAAGCACATTGATGCTAAACTCGAAGCTGTCTAACTCATGGCTAGGAGACCAAGAAGACGAGGATGATCCCTTTGCGCAATTGGAAGAAGGCTTCGATGAGGTTGACCTGGAAGAAAACATCGCACGCGATAAATATGCACGTCTTCGCAACCAGGTTGAGGGTCTTGTTGACTCTCTCAAGACATCCCAAGACGAAGAAGTTCTTGCGGAGATTTCTGAACAATTGTTCACAATTTTCTGTGACCTCCCAGAGACTAAAAACATCATCA